GAGAGAGAGAGAGAGAGAGAGAGAGAGAGAGAGAGAGAGAGAGAGAGAGAGAGAGAGAGAGAGAGAGAGACCCCAACTGAAGGATCTAAATGGCCATTAACTACCAAAGAATGAATGTAGATTTCAATAAATGGTCACAAAGCAGACTATCAGCATGCATATAATCCCCAGCCAAGGACGTAAATTACACTTGACAGCAACTAGAGTTACACAACTGAAAAAGGGGTGGTGAGAAGCATCAAGGACAACCAAACTCAGAAGACCCCAACTCCATTCCCCCTCCTACCTTGAGCATACAGGCTATACTTCGTAGGCACTCCAAAACTCCTGTTCACGACCCCCGCATATACTTTGACAAGTTCTCAACCCCATTTCCTCCCAACACCACCTCCCCTCTTCTTCTCATGTCCCTCGTATTTATACCGGAAATGCTCACCTGCTGCCCAATGAAATCGCATTCATGATTATCAGCCTCTCGACCTGCTCCGCCAAGCATCACCATCCTAACAGCAAACACTCTAATATGCGCCACATTCGTCATCATGACGATCCTCCTCCTCCTCCTCCCCATTCCAGAAGCACCACTAGCAACCCCTCCTTGCTTGCTGAAATAATTACTGTCACCACCACCAGTCATGCCCTATATCATAGCTAACATGATGATTGCTGATTCGATGGCAATGATGCCCAGCCTGCCCGATTCTGCTATGCCACTATCCCCTTAGACAAAGACACATAATCGCGGACACACAGCATGTAATCACAGAACAAGAGACCGACTCCGACAACTCTTACATGCCCTCATCTCCTCTTCTGCAGGAAGTAGAGAGACGTATGCAGACCACCCCAACGTCTGACGTCCGACGAAGCCCCACGACCCCGACATCTGACGCCACCGAAAACCAGTGCAAACCTTCAATAGCCGCAATCCTTGCTTCCAAATTTTTTTATTTATGAGTTGAGAATCTTGAGGGCTGGCCTCTAAGCCCCACAGAAGTCCCAACTCATCGTGTCGTTAAAATAATCATGTGTCTTGACGGACACAGCGCAACAGGGTTTACTTCACGTTCAGGCGCTGAGCCTACTGAAGGAGGGCCTCTTCACCCCTCCCTATTCTGTTAGCCCTGGGCTCTCAACCTACTACTGCCACAACTGGCCAATTACTGTACCAAACTATCCCTTCAGCTGTTTTCAGTAGTCTGTCGGCCTGTGTGGAAGGAGGGGGAAAACGCAACCTCGGAGCTCATTTACAGTTTTGCATTACGAGTCGAGTCTTTCGATGATGGTCCGAAGCCAGGTTATCTTCGCATTCTCACGTCAAGCTTGTTTCCACTTTTCAACGCTCACTGTTCGCAGCTACTAACAATTTTCTGACCGAAACACCACATCACTGAAAATCTCCACCCTAGACATCCGGGTTAAGTGGTGTCTCTTATACACATCTAGATGTGTATAAGAGACAGGGCCAACACGGACCTTGATCTGAAGCACACTGCCACGTCAAGCTTGTTTCCACTTTTCAACGCTCACTGTTCGCAGCTCCTTACACTTTTCCGCCCGAAACACCACATCACCGAAAATCTCCACCCTAGTCATCCGGGTTAAGTGGGGTCAGGCCAACACGGACCTTGATCTGAAGCACACTGCCAGTCGACCACTGAAGCTTGGCTGAATAATCATCGCAGAGGGATAGTCCCAAGAACACCCTGCAGCCAAACAACAGAGAGGACGTGGGTTAATCCACGTTTTGCATAACACATACTGGAGGGATAGTCCCAGGTCAAGTTTTAACTCTCAAATCAATCATTAAACTATCAACACGTCAGTGCATGGTTCATGACGCAAATGTTGCGGCACAGGGTTACCCATGGAGCGGGTTGATCGTGCGAGGGTTTACTCCTCGGCATAAGGCCCTGCAGCAGGCGCATGCCCGCCCTAAGGCCCCCCTGAATCTCAATGTGCCCTGAGTTCGTCAATTTATGCAAATCTTGGTGGGCGCCAGACAGTTGCCACGCGCCAGATGGTTACATCCGCTCGATTGTGAGAATCGGAATTATGCATGAGCCTTCCAGGCTCTTTCAGCAAAGTGGTCACAGCAGGGAGCACCGCAAGTTTGTGCCTGGGTGGTTGGGCATGCCTAACCAATTCGGTCCCAGGCCGCTGTCTGAACGGGCCTGGGCGCAGACACTTTGTCTGAACAGGTCCGAGGGACACACGAGCCAGGCCAGGCAGCAACCAGCCAGACCACTTTGCATATAGAAAAGTGCCCGGCCGAGGGGAGGGCATTCGGGCACTTGCGTGCAGATGCAGCAGCGCTGCCGGAGCTAGCGCTCGAGGGCTGCTGCAGTAGAGCTAGGGGCATGTGTGCGCGCACGTGCGGTCGTGCAAAAGGAAGGGCGCTGCTGAGGGCAGCGCCATAGCCAGCCCTCGTATCCGGGCTCGGCTTGCACATAGCCAGTGCAGATGGTGGTGGTCTTCGTGCATAAGGGAGAAGACATGGGTGATGAAGTCAAGAGTTTGTGTGTGTGTGTGTGTGTGTGTGTGTGTGTGTGTGTGTGTGTGTGTGTGTGTGTGTGTGTGTG